CGGGGCCTTGGTGTTATCAGCACCACACTCTCCCGAGTGAGCCACGGGCCGGCCCTTAAATTCTTTTTTCCATACTATATCTTTGAAATCTGGTATGTATTTTATACTTGTATCTCACTGGACTGGTCACATTTCAGGTACTCAGTATGTGGCTAGTGGCTACTGTATTAAATAGCACAGCGTAAGTAGCTATGACTAAAGTTCTACTTTAATTTTTGTTAGTTAAATATAACAGGCAACATCTTATTTTTTGTATTACTCTGTAGTTACAACCTTAAACCTTTGTGTTTTAACTATAGTAATTGTTTTTGGCAGAGCAATTACTATAGTGAGTTTTAGTGGGTTTATTGCGTGCTGATAATGTTATCCATTTGCTTTGAGTCCAGGACCCATTCTGTCGGTTACATTGCTTCCTAAAGTAGATAGGTATAGGCTCTGATAAGGGAAAGCAGGTTTTCCTTTCAAAGGAATACCTTTGTTTGTCTTACAACCTTCATTCTGTCTTTACCGGCATTGTGATGGATGAACAAGCCTATCTTCTTTATTTTAAATACACACACACACACTTTTCTGAATGAGGGAGCTACTTTATTTTTATGTTAATGAAAGGGTGTTATTACCGCTTATCTGTGATGGACAGATTCTTGGAAAATAATTGTAGGAGAATTATGTGGTTGAACTTAGACTTTTGTTATGGGGAGAAGGGGAAATGTATGTAGAACAAAAGCTGGAACAATTAAGACAGTCAGATGGAGGATGAGTTATCTAGTAAAAAGTCAAGATTAGCAGAGAGATTTTATGGAAGTCTGGGTTAGGATACAGTGAGAATGCAGCTGGGAGTTGTGAAGCATTACTTGGAGTTCAATGAGACTCTGGCATTTTGAATGAGGAAAAATTGAAATGGCCTTTATTTCTGCGAAGATTAGTAGAGTTTAAAGCATATGTTTTAAGTAGATGAATATTGAAAAGGAGAACAGAGGGGAAAATGACATTTCTTGGGTACCCCGTAGTTCTAGGAACTATTTGGAAAGTCAGGCCTGGAAAGAAATGGAATATGGAATTTGGCAAAAGAAGTTTAAGGTTAAGGAAATGCCTATGTATGATACCTATTAAGTCAGCATACTGTTTACTGCCAGAAGAGCTTACTGGATAAGAACTTGAGTCTTGAAGCCAGACTGCCTAGATTCAAATGTTGGCTTTGTTAGCAGCTGTGTGATTCTAGGCAAGTTATTTAGCCTTTTGCTACCTCAGTTTTCCCATTTATAAAACAGAGATAAGAGTGTCTATCTTAGGATTCTTATGAAGAATAAAAGAGAACTTAGATCAGTGCTTAGTACACTGTAATGCTCAAGAAATGTTAATCTTATAATGATTGTTATTATTAGCAAGGCTGAGCTATTTAACTATTTTGTAAATACGTAGATATCAGAACCCTGTAACACAAATGAGAGCTGATAGCCCTAAGAGGAATAGATACAAGGAGTAAGAGCTATGGACTTAAGGTCATAGCCCAGAAAGAAGGCCTTCCAGTTCTAGAAGTGAAAAATGCAACAAAATCTGGGCATCTTCTCTTGGGTTTCTCTTGGTATTTTGCTTTTAGCCCATTGTTTTGTGTGTATTGAGGCACTGCCTTTTCTAGTGGTATCAAATACTTCCTTTACCAGTAGCAATTAAGATCAATATCTTCCTATAGGACCTTGGTAATACTTCTGATAGCAAGATTTA